TGCTTGATATCATGTAGCTAGGGTCTGGACTTGCTATAAGTATTTACAACTGAAACGGAGCCTGCTTGATATCATGTAGCTAGGGTCTGGACTAGCTATAAGTATTTACAAATGAAACGGAGCCTGCTTGATATCATGTAGCTAGGGTCTGGACTAGCTATAGGTATTTACAACTGAAACGGAGCCTGCTTGATATTATGTAGCTAGGGTCTGGACTAGCTATAAGTATTTACAACTGAAACGGAGCCTGCTTGATATCATGTAGCTAGGGTCTGGACTAGCTATAAGTATTTACAACTGAAACGGAGCCTGCTTGATATCATGTAGCTAGGGTCTGGACTTGCTATAAGTATTTACAAATGAAACGGAGCCTGCTTGATATTATGTAGCTAGGGTCTGGACTAGCTATAAGTATTTACAACTGAAACGGAGCCTGCTTGATATTATGTAACTAGGGTCTGGACTAGCTATAAGTATTTACAAATGAAACGGAGCCTGCTTGATATCATGTAGCTAGGGTCTGGACTAGCTATAAGTATTTACAACTGAAACGGAGCCTGCTTGATATCATGTAGCTAGGGTCTGGACTTGCTATAAGTATTTACAACTGAAACGGAGCCTGCTTGATATCATGTAGCTAGGGTCTGGACTTGCTATAAGTATTTACAACTGAAACGGAGCCTGCTTGATATCATGTAGCTAGGGTCTGGACTAGCTATAAGTATTTACAAATGAAACGGAGCCTGCTTGATATCATGTAGCTAGGGTCTGGACTAGCTATAGGTATTTACAACTGAAACGGAGCCTGCTTGATATTATGTAGCTAGGGTCTGGACTAGCTATAAGTATTTACAACTGAAACGGAGCCTGCTTGATATCATGTAGCTAGGGTCTGGACTTGCTATAAGTATTTACAAATGAAACGGAGCCTGCTTGATATTATGTAGCTAGGGTCTGGACTAGCTATAAGTATTTACAAATGAAACGGAGCCTGCTTGATATCATGTAGCTAGGGTCTGGACTAGCTATAAGTATTTACAACTGAAACGGAGCCTGCTTGATGTCATGTAGCTAGGGTCTGGACTTGCTATAAGTATTTACAAATGAAACGGAGCCTGCTTGATGTTATGTAGCTAGGGTCTGGACTAGCTATAAGTATTTACAACTGAAACGGAGCCTGCTTGATGTTATGTAGCTAGGGTCTGGACTTGCTATAAGTATTTACAACTGAAACGGAGCCTGCTTGATGTTATGTAGCTAGGGTCTGGACTTGCTATAAGTATTTACAACTGAAACGGAGCCTGCTTGATATCATGTAGCTAGGGTCTGGACTTGCTATAAGTATTTACAAATGAAACGGAGCCTGCTTGATATCATGTAGCTAGGGTCTGGACTAGCTATAAGTATTTACAACTGAAACGGAGCCTGCTTGATATCATGTAGCTAGGGTCTGGACTTGCTATAAGTATTTACAACTGAAACGGAGCCTGCTTGATATCATGTAGCTAGGGTCTGGACTAGCTATAAGTATTTACAACTGAAACGGAGCCTGCTTGATATCATGTAGCTAGGGTCTGGACTAGCTATAAGTATTTACAACTGAAACGGAGCCTGCTTGATATTATGTAGCTAGGGTCTGGACTAGCTATAAGTATTTACAAATGAAACGGAGCCTGCTTGATATCATGTAGCTAGGGTCTGGACTTGCTATAGGTATTTACAACTGAAACGGAGCCTGCTTGATATCATGTAGCTAGGGTCTGGACTAGCTATAAGTATTTACAAATGAAACGGAGCCTGCTTGATATCATGTAGCTAGGGTCTGGACTAGCTATAAGTATTTACAACTGAAACGGAGCCTGCTTGATATCATGTAGCTAGGGTCTGGACTTGCTATAAGTATTTACAACTGAAACGGAGCCTGCTTGATATTATGTAGCTAGGGTCTGGACTAGCTATAAGTATTTACAACTGAAACGGAGCCTGCTTGATATTATGATTTATGTAGCTAGGGTCTGGACTAGCTATAAGTATTTACAACTGAAACGGAGCCTGCTTGATATCATGTAGCTAGGGTCTGGACTTGCTATAAGTATTTACAACTGAAACGGAGCCTGCTTGATATTATGTAGCTAGGGTCTGGACTAGCTATAAGTATTTACAACTGAAACGGCGCCTGCTTGATATCATGTAGCTAGGGTCTGGACTAGCTATAAGTATTTACAAATGAAACGGAGCCTGCTTGATATTATGTAGCTAGGGTCTGGACTAGCTATAAGTATTTACAAATGAAACGGCGCCTGCTTGATATTATGTAGCTAGGGTCTGGACTAGCTATAAGTATTTACAACTGAAACGGAGCCTGCTTGATATCATGTAGCTAGGGTCTGGACTAGCTATAAGTATTTACAACTGAAACGGAGCCTGCTTGATATTATGTAGCTAGGGTCTGGACTAGCTATAAGTATTTACAACTGAAACGGAGCCTGCTTGATATCATGTAGCTAGGGTCTGGACTAGCTATAAGTATTTACAACTGAAACGGAGCCTGCTTGATATCATGTAGCTAGGGTCTGGACTTGCTATAAGTATTTACAAATGAAACGGAGCCTGCTTGATATTATGTAGCTAGGGTCTGGACTAGCTATAAGTATTTACAACTGAAACGGAGCCTGCTTGATATTATGTAACTAGGGTCTGGACTAGCTATAAGTATTTACAAATGAAACGGAGCCTGCTTGATATCATGTAGCTAGGGTCTGGACTAGCTATAAGTATTTACAACTGAAACGGAGCCTGCTTGATATCATGTAGCTAGGGTCTGGACTTGCTATAAGTATTTACAACTGAAACGGAGCCTGCTTGATATCATGTAGCTAGGGTCTGGACTTGCTATAAGTATTTACAACTGAAACGGAGCCTGCTTGATATCATGTAGCTAGGGTCTGGACTAGCTATAAGTATTTACAAATGAAACGGAGCCTGCTTGATATCATGTAGCTAGGGTCTGGACTAGCTATAGGTATTTACAACTGAAACGGAGCCTGCTTGATATTATGTAGCTAGGGTCTGGACTAGCTATAAGTATTTACAACTGAAACGGAGCCTGCTTGATATCATGTAGCTAGGGTCTGGACTTGCTATAAGTATTTACAACTGAAACGGAGCCTGCTTGATATCATGTAGCTAGGGTCTGGACTAGCTATAAGTATTTACAACTGAAACGGAGCCTGCTTGATATCATGTAGCTAGGGTCTGGACTTGCTATAAGTATTTACAAATGAAACGGAGCCTGCTTGATATTATGTAGCTAGGGTCTGGACTAGCTATAAGTATTTACAACTGAAACGGAGCCTGCTTGATATTATGTAGCTAGGGTCTGGACTAGCTATAAGTATTTACAAATGAAACGGAGCCTGCTTGATATCATGTAGCTAGGGTCTGGACTAGCTATAAGTATTTACAACTGAAACGGAGCCTGCTTGATATCATGTAGCTAGGGTCTGGACTTGCTATAAGTATTTACAACTGAAACGGAGCCTGCTTGATATCATGTAGCTAGGGTCTGGACTTGCTATAAGTATTTACAACTGAAACGGAGCCTGCTTGATATCATGTAGCTAGGGTCTGGACTAGCTATAAGTATTTACAAATGAAACGGAGCCTGCTTGATATCATGTAGCTAGGGTCTGGACTAGCTATAAGTATTTACAACTGAAACGGAGCCTGCTTGATATTATGTAGCTAGGGTCTGGACTAGCTATAAGTATTTACAACTGAAACGGAGCCTGCTTGATATCATGTAGCTAGGGTCTGGACTTGCTATAAGTATTTACAACTGAAACGGAGCCTGCTTGATATCATGTAGCTAGGGTCTGGACTAGCTATAAGTATTTACAAATGAAACGGAGCCTGCTTGATATCATGTAGCTAGGGTCTGGACTTGCTATAAGTATTTACAACTGAAACGGAGCCTGCTTGATATCATGTAGCTAGGGTCTGGACTAGCTATAAGTATTTACAACTGAAACGGAGCCTGCTTGATATCATGTAGCTAGGGTCTGGACTAGCTATAAGTATTTACAAATGAAACGGAGCCTGCTTGATATCATGTAGCTAGGGTCTGGACTAGCTATAAGTATTTACAACTGAAACGGAGCCTGCTTGATATTATGTAGCTAGGGTCTGGACTAGCTATAAGTATTTACAAATGAAACGGAGCCTGCTTGATATCATGTAGCTAGGGTCTGGACTAGCTATAAGTATTTACAACTGAAACGGAGCCTGCTTGATATCATGTAGCTAGGGTCTGGACTAGCTATAAGTATTTACAAATGAAACGGAGCCTGCTTGATATCATGTAGCTAGGGTCTGGACTTGCTATAAGTATTTACAAATGAAACGGAGCCTGCTTGATATTATGTAGCTAGGGTCTGGACTAGCTATAAGTATTTACAACTGAAACGGAGCCTGCTTGATATTATGTAGCTAGGGTCTGGACTAGCTATAAGTATTTACAACTGAAACGGAGCCTGCTTGATATTATGTAGCTAGGGTCTGGACTAGCTATAAGTATTTACAACTGAAACGGAGCCTGCTTGATATTATGTAGCTAGGGTCTGGACTAGCTATAGGTATTTACAACTGAAACGGAGCCTGCTTGATATTATGTAGCTAGGGTCTGGACTAGCTATAAGTATTTACAACTGAAACGGTCAACGGAGCCTGCTTGATATTATGTAGCTAGGGTCTGGACTATCTAGACCTGGTTAAATATTCCCATTCCTCATTACATAAATAATATTATGACGCAGTGAAACTATCGGACTACGATGTATGGTGACTTACCAACCCATGACAACATTAAAATAAATTGACTCTGTTTCATCGTTTTCTCAAATTATTTGTGTAATGGGGAATAGTAATATTACATAAATAATTAGTAATATGTGTTACTGATATGGAATGTTTATCTCTAATATTCACCACACTTCCTCCAGGATTCGGGACCTCTACATGTGCTGTGACAGTGAAACTAGGCTCCGATCACTCCTGTACTGTCACCTCCGTCAACGACAAAAGGATAAAGTGTAAAGTGGACCTGGCCACTGAGCCTCCTGTTTACACACTATTTGAAGCTAAAGTCAACATCCTCGGTATTCTGCAGTTTCATAAGATTTACGATTTTTGTTTTTTTCCTTTTTATCACTTTCAACTGACTGGTTATTAAACATTTAGACGTTTAAGTGTATGATTTAGAAAAATCAAAAGTTTTGGAAACAGTAGTACCATAAAGTAACATGCTTCATTCCCTATTTAAATATGTGCAAATCAAATTTCTGACACTGATTTTAACCCATAAATTAATGATAAAATAACTAATAAAAGTAAGGTATTGTAAATGTAATGTTGATAGGTCGAGGAGACGCAGTGTTCTCAGGAGAGAACCACAACCTCTACGCTTACTCCTCCATACAACCAAAGATAACATCCATTTCTCCCACACAGGGATCTCTCGAGGTAATTAAACCATCAACCCATTAGGGACAGTAATTAAACCATTAACTCATTAGGGACGGTAATTAAACCATTATTCATCAACCCATTAGGGACAGTAATTAAACCATTAACCCATTAGGGACGGTAATTAAACCATTAACTCATTAGGGACGGTAATTAAACCATTATTCATCAACCCATTAGGGACAGTAATTAAACCATTAACTCATTAGGGACGGTAACTAAACCATCAACCCATTAGGGACGGTAATTAAACCATTAACCCATAAGGGACGGTAATTAAACCATTATTCATCAACCCATTAGGGACAGTAATTAAACCATCAACCCATTAGGGACGGTAATTAAACCATTAACCCATTAGGGACAGTAATTAAACCATTAACCCATTAGGGACGGTAATTAAACCATTATTCATCAACCCATTAGGGACGGTAATTAAACCATTATTCATCAACCAATTAGGGACGGTAATTTTAAACCATCAACCCATTAGGGAGGGCGGGACTCATTTTGTTTTTTTGGGTATAGAATATAGATGATAAACCAAAATACTTAACTTAACAAACTCTTTGCACGGATGCTCAAAATAAATTGGGCAGCTCGGCTCCTTCGAGGTGATTACACCATTGATTAACCAATCACCTTTCAATACCGATAATTCAATAATTCTTCGTTCAGGGAGGTCTCCCAGTCACCCTGACCGGTGGAGGGTTCAAATACAACACAGGAGTGAATCCGATATCCGGATCTGTAACTGATGGTACGATCAGATCACTTTTATATTTGTAGCCAAAAAATCCACCATGTTTTGGACAGTAAAAATCTTATTTATAAGTGTTTTACTGTTCAAAACATGGTGGATGTATTTATAGATCATTCGCTTATAAGATTTTGATAGGACTTTTTTATAGACATCAAGCTGGGCTCAGAATTAAAGCTTGAGGATTACGCCCCTGACAACATTTACTTTACTACTTTGATATACACATATTATAATATTATTACTTTATACAGGTTCGTCTGATTTTGAAGTACTATCGGCCACATACACCGCTATAACCGTGAGGAGCAGAACTGGTATCTCTGAAACTGTGGACACTCCTAAGACTATAACTGTGAGTAATTAAAACTGTTCACTTAAGCGTTCCCTCATGGCTCTCATCCTCCACTGTACACTTTGATTTCTCCGACAACCTCCCCCAGGGCTACCATACCCCAGAGGCAGGCAGAGCATCCACGTGCTATCCTCTCGTGGATCACCCAGGCCCAGCCTCTCTTTAGAAAAAGGGAAAAAAAGATGTTCACTCTCACATATCCCGATTAATTATGAAAATTTTGCGTGCACAGCAAACGAATTTCTCCGTTCAGTTAACACAAGACAGCGTGGAAGTTGAGTGCAGTGCGTGCACCTTCACCTACAAATCCAGCAGGACCCCAACAGTTACTAACGTTACCAAGACTGCTAAAGACCCAGGCCCCGGCTACACTGTCACCATTACTGGCTCCAACCTTTGTCCGTGAGTATAGTTGTGAGAGAGAAACTTAAGTTATTGTGGGTCCAGTGGTTATGTGGAAATTCTGTCAGACTGTGAGGAGAATGGATTGTCAAATCGTGGCCAAATTTTGAAACTCCTGATCGATCAGTTGAAATTTTACAAACACTCTGATCGAGTTTCCGGGTTTGAAAATTGAAAATTATGGTGCAACCTTTATTATTTATTCTTAAAAACCGAATACTTTAAAATTAAAACTTGCATAATATTATGATTTATTAAAATCACAGTAGAAAATAATTTGATTTGATACGACAGATGATCACACGCACTGTTTCTAGGCCGACTGATCCATTACATTTGCGCTTTTAAGTTACATGGGGTTGGAACTGGCCCGCAAGGTTTGTATGTCCTCAGCAAGTTTTGTTAAGTTTCTTATAAATTTAAACAGCAACCCTCACCTCACAGGAGTGGTACAGGTACCACTATCTCTATAGGTAGCAACTCCTGTGTAACCAGCTCAGAGAACTGTCAGAGCAGCAAGGTGGTGTGTGATGTGGGTGATCTTCCAGCTGGAACATATAATGTGATCATCACCACCACTTACGGGTATCCTTCTTATGATGAGGGCATGAACAGACTTGTCTTTGTGTATGCGGTAAGTTGTTTAGGTTATTAAATTATTTACGTTATTAAGTTATTTACGTTATTAAGTTATTTACGTTATTAAGTTATTTAGGCTATGTTTGTAAGTTATTTAGGCTATTTTTGGTGTGTAAAAAGAGAGAGAATAGCTTTTGATTTTTTACTAATTGTCCTAAGCTCCGACTTAATGAATAAGCTCCGATTTAATAAATAAGCTGACACCCAAAACCTCTAACCTCTCACCTCCGACCAGATAAAGACAGTGGTGCCCACTTCTGGTAGTGTGTACGGTGGTACCCTCGTTACCATCACCGGAACTGGACTCCCAGCTTCAGAGAGTCTCACCGTCACCACCAGCAAGTACCACCTGACTGTCATCTCCAAGACAACCACTGAGATTATTGCTAGGACTCCTGATAGAAAGGTGGGATGTTTTAGATGTATTATAAAGCAATTGTTCTTTTCTTAATTAACCTTTATTATTATTATTATTTATTTTTTTTTGTTTAATGATCATTTCCTGGTTCAACCATGATATTAGCCATAAACAAAGAATTGGAAAGGCAAGATGGTCACTTTCGGTTCTTCAAAGGTCTTTAGGTTAATTAAGGTCCATCTTTTAAAGTTCTAAAGTGATTAATAATTGCAATTTGTTTTCACTTGATGTTGCTGCTGCCAAGTGTTGGTGATAACATTTTTCTCAGACGTAGTAGGAGGCTATATATAACGCAGTTTATCTGCTTATCTCAGACTGAGTATAAATGGGGAGGCAAAGAATCATTAACATATCATATAGCTTACAATTTACAGTTCACAGTCTTCAATGTTGGATGCTGATTGGCCAGGTGGTCCAGTTAAACTGGAAGTTTTAAACGATTCATTAAATAGCGTTTATTTTAGATTTTACCCATGACATGATAAGCTATAACGTAGTAGCTTTATTAACCACCAGGCTCTAGAATCTTTATTGATTGGTGGAACTGGAACTGGAAGCTGATTGGACGAGTGTCAGAAACATAGTCCACCTTCCACCAGTCTTGAGGCTTTTTAAATTAAATTCACGTCAGATTTTTATCCGAATCAAGACCGGATGTCTTTAGTAGGCGGGGTGTTTAAACTTTTAAACATCACATTAAATTTTAAATGGCGTTTATTTTAGATTCTATCCATGATCTCATAAGAGGTTTAGTTTTACTAAAAGCTAGTAAAAGGTATTTCTATTAACTGTTGGCACAGTGGTCGATGGTGTTGGTACTTATAATTGTCACTTGCGGTGGTATTTATGGTATTTTGGACTAACCTATCAATGGTTTCATATCAGATTTTCCTGATAAAGCCCCTCGAGCGAATTTATTTTGTCTGATGACTAAAGTAGATAAGTAGATAGACACAACCACTTTAACTAAATAGTTTTAGGCTATAAAGTCCGCCTTAAAGCTAACATATAAGTGAGAAGCTATTGCGCTGAGATTGGGCTCATATAAACCCTCCTCGAATTGGTCTGTTGAACCATTACTGGGGTGATTACTTCAGTTTTAGTCTATTTCTGGTATTTCTGATATTTTATAGTTTTAACCTTTATAAATCCATTGAATCTTATCCTTCTATAGTTCTAAAGTTCTAAAGTTTTATAGTTTTATAGTTTATAAAGGTTAGTGATAAAGATATATCCATAAGTTCGATGGTAAAATCAGAACAAACTTGAACGAAAATAATCGATTCATAGGTGGCATGGGCGGGCCATGATAATGGTTGAAGAAGCTACTAAGAATCATATTCCACTGTTCCACGAATTCTCGGTTATAGATCAACCAGTAATAATCGGAGGCTAAGTGCATATTTTTTAGGTCAATTTTCAAATATAACTTGTATCTCTCATGTTATATGTTTTACTTAAAAATTACTTTTATCGTTACTTATAAACACCTCCGGGATACGTATCTAACTGCTGAGGAATATAGAATAAAAGTGGCGTTATTTTCATTGTTTTATCCCATTTAGTAGGTACATAATCCCTGCACAGTTTTCATAATCCATCCCATTATCCAGTCAACCAGGTTTGGATTGTTCTTTTTTTCTTTTTTATCTTATTTTTAAATTGATGACTGTTAAGTGATATCTCTTATTAGTTATTAGACTACGCGCTTAGCGCTGGTGTTATATGTCATGTGTACTGATGACGCGTATCACTATAACACTTTCACTATACTACTACTAAGACGCACTAAAATGTCACGTGACGTATAAATAAACGCAAGAACAGCAATTGCTCACTTCCCACCCTGAGAAACCCTTGCATGGTCTGGTAAGGAATGTCTAGCTTAGTCACTACCCATTAATCCAGCTGAAGATATTGAACTGACGTTCCAGTTCGATGAGAATAAGTCAAACATCTTGCTAAATTGCGTTAATGTGACGTCAATCTTGCAAACGCTGAAGCCTTACAGTTTGCAAGAGCCTAGAGTGCTTCGTTTCTTACTAAACTGATAAAACAGGGGAAGTGATATGAACTTTGTTACGTAAATTTCGCTATTTTTTATAGTCGATATAATATATACTATGTGAACCATAGGATACAACCATTTTACTTTCTAACCTCAATTCGTGTCGGTGTAGACCGTGGAATTTGAGTTTATTAGATGTCCACATATCTGATCGGACTAGTACTGGTAGCAAAGTACTAAAGTAGAAACATATTATTATGGGCTTTAGATGGCTTGAACTGAATCTTTGGATTTTGAGTTCTCTTTGGCTATAAAGCGATGTATAAATTTCTAGTTATTATTATTATTATTAAATGATTGTTGACCGGTTCGCACTACTACGTCTAGTGCCCCAACATAGCAAACCAGTGTTTCGTTTTTTCTTAGAAATCTCATAGACACCTTGCGTGCCGGGGCAGTAGTATTAGTAACGTCATCCCGGAATGAGACTAAATAAACAATCAATATTAATGGATTTTGATTCATCGCGCAACAGCTTTTGCAATTACTTTGGTTTACTTCTATTCTATAGAAATTCTAACGATCATATCGGTACTTTAAGGCACATTAAAAAATCTGTACATCACAAATAACGGAAAGTTAAGTGACCATCTTGCTGCAAGATGGTCCCAAAAAAATGAATCTCGAAAATGTTGTGCAAGATGATCTAGATTTTTTTGGGAACATATTTCTGCAATTGACAATGTACTGCCTTAAAATCATTTCTCGGAAACTACGGTTTTGTTTGATTGGGATTTGGGAGGCTGTAACTCATTCCTTGATATCGATTTTAGGTCTAAAAAAATCAACTGGAAAGTTAATTTTTTGGACATTTAAAGTCAGAGAACAAATTCAAGCATATTATTCGTTTTTCTAATTTACAGGTTTTTCTAACATTTTGATAGGAATGTGCTAACTTACTGCAACTAGTACATTTACCTATGAGTTCTGAAGAAACATATGCCTTGATCAAATAATTTTTTTTAAAGAGTTATTTTTTAGAGTTATGGCGGGAAGATGGATTTTTTTGCTATCCAGATAGTGTGAAAATTCACTTAAGTCAAAGTGCTATTTTGGGCTGGGGAGGTCTTAGCTCTTTGAGTGCAAATTTTTTCGCAATACCCATATTCATATACAAATTATAGATATAAAGCAACATAATGCTTACTACTGAGTTATCAGCGAAACAGCGCATTTACACAACAAACAGAGCCACTTAATCCGCCGACAACTCAGAGATATAGTACATAGTATATACCTTATCAGAATTTATTTTAACAGGTATTTTTGATTTTTGTCCATTCAAATTAAGTCTGTCCTCTAAGCTCCATCCAAGTCAAAGTCCACCGAATTTTTTCCAAAAGTATTTCCACACACTTAGTTGTGGAACACAACAAGAAAATTGAGAATAATCTTGTACGAGGGTATAAGGACCCAGATGTCGTTTCTAACCCAAATTAACTTTAAGGAGGCTTCTCATCAGTAGCCGCACCCCCTTACCTACTATTTTAAAGATATTGAAAAGGTACTCTCATCACCAGCAAAACTAGCCCCAGTCATCCTGCCCATCAAACTTTCTTTTTTTTTTCTTTTTTTTTAATTAAAAAAAATTAAAACCTTGATATTTATGAGAATAATTCTATACATCTTGAATTGTTCCGAAACTGATTTTAAGACATTACGTAAAACACCTTGAAAGTCAATTGTCGTGGGGACAAAGTATATATATTATTTCTACCTATGAGCAATTTTTTTAGTGGCCCAAACGTAAATTTAGCCTCTAGCTTCTTTGCGTTCGCTGGTCAAGACAACAACGTATTTAAAATATTTAGCATATTTAAGGAGAACCAACTGCATTGGCTTATATTCCAGAGTTTCTGTGTATTTTGTGGACTGTTTAACCTAGCAAAGTCAGACGACTTTTGATAATTTGACCTCCACTGAAGCTCCCTGGTTCAGCAGTTTAAGCAATTTTCCTAAATGCGCAAAGTTATTTTGCGCGATATTCTGAACTTAATAATTGTTAATTTCACCATGTATTGTAAGTATCCCACTAGGCACTGCCACTAATTGATAGCATATTATTATTATTTCAAGTTAGTATTACTATCTTGCACAGATCCTTGTCAGGTTGCATAAACAGTTAACATACGGTCACATAGAAATGTACACGATTTTCACATTCAATATGGAATTAACTGGGCATGATGTATAGCAATGAAGTAGTGACAAGCTGGAAGTGAGGGGCGTCATCTTGGTTCATTAATCAGGTTGTTCACAACTACTCAACTAGGTCTAACTTCCCTGATTGAACAGCTTAGCAGCTTATTATAATGGTACTTTTATTGTTTATAAATATGAGCGATCGAATCCACAACACAATCTGTTCGAGTTTATAGATTGCATTTGTTTCCCAAATCTTTTAAGCTTTAACGTTAATCCTGATGTTTTAGAGCAATTCGCCGAAAGTTTGATTTTCTGTGCAGTATAGGAATCAAGCATAATCCGAGGGGGGGGGGGGGCGATCGCACGCTTATTTTATATACCAAGACACAGTAAGTATCGTGATTTCTCAACATTTAGTACCTCGAAAGCCCGCAAAAGGGGTGGGTGTCTTAGTTATAATCCGAAAAAAGACTTAGTACCGCGAAGGGGGTGGGTGGGTCTTATGAAAAATTCCAAAATTACACTTATTCGACGTCACGCACAAAACTTAGTACCACCCCCCCCCCCCCCCCCCCCCCCTCAGTTATATAGTATATTTACTGACATTTTGAACAGCTTAACTTTCTATAATTTGTCTACTGGCAAGGTGCCGGCAAGTTAGATCTGGCAAATTGCCAAGTTAGAACTGGGGGTCCCCTAATTCATGTAGTTATCACTTTAAGATGCAGCAAACTTTCTATTAAAACATGGTGATTTTTGTTGTGAAACCAGTATTTCTGGTACCCATAGGGGATTTGAAAAAAACTTATAAATCAAATGTCAGCAAAAACATCATTCCTCAAAGTATCATAATCAAACCCCGGGCGAGTCCAAAATTAGAAACCTGAGTATTGATTCATATGAAATATGAATATCTCTTTAATACGATATAACGATATAACGATAAAATTTCCTGAACCAGATCTGACTCGCTATGTCTGTTCAGACATGTTTGTCTGCCAGATCGTGGTACCTGAGTCCCTTCATTGCCGTGCATTGAAATCACACAATAACACACAAAGCTAGAATCACGGCAAATCGACATTCATCGCTTTTTCATCGGAGTACTAATGGACAGTGTTCCTGGAATCCATGGTCCCTGCGTAAAAGATTTGTTGAGGCCAGCAGCACGATTACTCGAAGTGGAGAATCCTGAATGTTGCGGAATCGAGAATCCTGAGTGTTGTGGAATCGTCTTCTTTTCCGTGCTGTGTTGCGGGGTCACTTTCCTTTCAGTGGTGCAGATCTCTCCTCCTCGTATGAAGTGATACTTTTCTGGCTCTTTCTCCATCTTTGCTTTTAAAGATTCAACAAGTTTTCTCCGTATCAGCCTCTCCTCAGGAGATCGATCAGGACTCAGAAATGTTTTATTGAACTGTGACGACTGCTTCAAGTTCTTAGCATTACTGAGCACAACAGAAACTGAGTCTGATCGGCTGAAGCAAACTCTGACTGGACGATGTTGGCCAGGCTTCGCAGTTCCCAGACGGTAACATTCCCTCACGAAGGGTTTTTCTGCTCCAGCAATTTCACTAAGCATACCTCCCACAACTGTATCAAGATTGGTTTTAGGATCCTCCCTGAGTCCGTATACCATCACACAGCGACTGCGATTATCATTGTCAACTGCTGATTTCACAGCCGCTTGCAAAGTTTTGCCTGGGATCTGTGGACTGTTCTGCTTCACTATGTCGCTAAACGATTTAACTTCTGTTTTGACGACCTCCTGAACTTTCTGAACATGATTTTCCTTCTTCTGAATAATTTCGTCCTTAAGCTCCAACATAAGTTTCTGATTTACAATCTGATCAGATTTCAAAGTGTCAATATTTGATGACGCAGATTTAAGAATGTCTGTGCTGCAGTTTACAATCTTAACAAATTCCATGACAAATCCAGCAAGTGAGTCTTTGCTGACATTGTTCCCTTTCATAAGAACATGCTTCGTAACTTCAGTGATGTTTTTACACTTAGCTGCTCCAGTCAACGAATCGAAAGTTCCCCGAATGTCCTTCTCCAATCGATGCAGGGATTCCAATGTATAGCTCATTATGTACAAGTAGCGATGTACACGTTGTACTCGATTTAAGCAAGGCTGTGCGATGCTGATAACAAGAGCAATTAACAAACGTACATGAATTTGATAAGACAGCAATGTAGATAAGACAGCAATGATGATAAGACAGCAATGAATGATTCAATTGATTCGTAATCAATTGATTCGTATCAAGGTGTCTTTACCTGTTACTATACTACTATAATACAGTTACTACTTACAGTTACGCTATTTTAATATCTTGTCTCGTTCCATTATACTGTTCTACCAGTAAAATCTGGGACAAAGTAACCCAAACAAATCTCTCTCAGAAATGAATCTAACGACCCCGAACCAAACTGAAATCATCTCAAACATGGCTGAAATGATAGCACCCTTCTTACACGTGTCACCCTTACCACCCTCCGTAACAAACACAGACTCGCCCCTAAACAGGACTCTAGAGAGAACCTGGCTCTACGAACCCTACTCTCCTGCGGGACGTTGCCTGGCTGTCATCTGGTCTCTTCTCTGTGCTTCTGTTGCTATCCTGGGAAACAGCTGTGTGTTAGTCATAACTTCTGTACAATACAACACTTTGGCGATCGACAAAATATCCATAATCTTGATACGAAACATAGCGATAGTGGACTTGGCTTGCGGTTTCTTCATCACACTAAACATAGGTTACCTGATCACGGGACGGAATATATACGGGGCAGTACCCTGCTACCTCTTCACCCGTCTCTTCTACTTCTTCCTAGGAGTGGGCACTATCTTCATCTCCCTCCTCAACCTCAACAAGTTGCACTGCCTGCACTACCCACTCAGGGTGAACACGAGGACTAACCGACAAGGTTACCTGATCTGCGCGGGGGTCTGGGTAACAATAGCCCTGACGTGGGGGGGTCCCCTTATAAACAGACTGGTCCACGTGACCACTATCATAGTGTTCCAGGTCGGGGGGAGTCAGTGTAGTTCCGACACTTCTGCTCACACTGTGCTTATTAAAGTCATGACCATGACTGCTGCGGTGGTGTTTGCGTTCCTGCCAGTCCTCATGATCCTGGTTACTTCCATTTGGTTGTGTTGTTTTGTGAAGCGGGTAACTGGAGCGTTACAACGACAGAGCATTCTCACTCTCATCTTCGTTTCCAGTGTCATGTTCTCCTCTTTTGTACCCTACTTCTGCTTTGTCATCATGCGGGATAACCTCCCGCCGGAACAGACTCGTAGCAAGTGGTTCTCCACCTTCTTCAAGATAACGAACCTTGTTGTCTACGCAAACTATGCTGCTAACCCGATAATTTACTGTCTGACTATCCGGAGTTTTGCCACGTTTGTGAGGGTGAAGATAGCAAGCTGCCACAGATTCTCACCTTTTAGACTGTTACCTCGGCTTAGGTTATGGTTAGGCTTAGCACTGTTCCGTCTCTCCAGAGTTACAAGCTGGAATCTGTCTGACTCTGACAACACTCGACAACCTAACTAGAATACTGAGGTCATCTTTAATCCCTCTAATCATTTCCCTTTGTTTTGAGCTCTCCATCCTTTACCTTTTTATTGCGTTTCATATTTTGGAGGGTTCAGAGTGGCTTTATTAGGAATATCACGTGATGCCCATACGAGGAGTTATTAGCCGTTCTGAACTCTTCAAAATGCAATAAAGTTTTATTTATTTTATGATTTATTTATTTTATGCTGTTTTTAATTGTGACTTATTTGTTAAATTTATTTCAAAAGTAATTTGTGCTGAGTTGTGACAATATTATTGGGGTACTATTAACTTATTAAAATTGTTAACTTTATTTTACTACGTTTTGAAATTTGAGATTTTGAAATGAAGATTAGCTTTGTAACTTGAAACTTCTCAAAAATATACAGAGAAATCATGTGACAAATTTCGATGACAATTTGATCAAAACATAGAAATAAATAATACAGTAGCATTAAACTTTAAAAATTATCCTTTGAGCTAAATCGTTATCAGATTTCTTTAAAAAACCTTTTCTTCAAAACGTAAGCAACATCAAGTTCTGTATTCATAACATGGAAGAATAAAATCAATAACAGCATACTTTTCTCCCCACAGGTAACTGCCGAGCAAAACACTCAGATCAGATTCAACAACGTGCACATGGGCACCTATTACAAATACACTTCTTCCTTATCTCCGGTTATCTCTGGTCTTACACCTGCAACCGGTATGTTTGTGTTTATTTATCCGGTTCAGAGACACCAACATGAGCTGGAGAGTGCTGGCATTGCAGTGGTCAAACAGTGGTCAAACAGTGGTCACACAGTGGTCACACACAGCTCACACACAGGTCACACAGATAGCACACACAGGGTTATTAGGGACACTTGCATATTTTAAGTTAGAAACTGTAGATGTAAACAGCACTCTTGAGCTCTAAGTGGAGTCTCTGAGCCTGTTGTCATGGTAAAACTTCCTCCCCTCCCTTAACCACCAGGTGTCCAGCTCTACAGAGGAGGATATCAAACTGTTACTAGTTGACGGCAGTGTTAGCAACACTAAACACAAGTTTATCTATACTCCCGCCCGCTCCGTCGTTATTACAGATATCCTGCCTTCCGAGGGTACACAACTACATGTTCCTAATCCTGATCAATCACTATAATAACAGTGATTCTAATGAGAATAATTGATCGTGTCTGTATCACGTGATATTTCACTCCTTATTATATGGGCATCACGTGATATTCCTAATAAAGCCACTCTGATCGTGTCTGCATGAATAATTATTTGTAGATGCACCCAAATAATGAATGTACAGTTTCACAATCGTGATTATAAAGTGGACTATTATAGGAGCTTGTTAGCTGCTATAAAGCTATAACCACGTGGACCTGAATATCGCTTAGTCAAACCTGGGGTGGACTAGTTACTTAAGGTTCCATTTAAGGTTCCATTTAAGGTTCCATTCAAGGTTCCATCCAAGGTTCCATTTAAGGTTCCATTTAAGGTTCCATTCAAGGTTTCATTTGAGGTTCCATTTGAGGTTCCATTTAAGGTTCCATTTAAGGTTCCATTTAAGGTTCCATTTAAGGTTCCATTTAAGGTTTCATTTGAGGTTCCATTAAAGGTTCCATTTAAGGTTCTATTTAAGGTTCCATTTAAGGTTCCATTTAAGGTTCCATTCAAGGTTCCATTTAAGGTTCCATTTAAGGTTCCATTTAAGGTTCCATTTAAGGTTCCATTTAAGGTTCCATTTAAGGTTCCATTTACGGTTCCCTGCCTTATTTCCCCGCTCCTTCTTGCTAGGTTGTAATTTACCTGACTCAGCTTACTTCTAATCTGTTGAGGAGACCTTAGTTTATTACGGTCCAATTACAAACTGATCAGTTGATTCTAATTTATTCGTGTCACCAATTTGACGATAATTTTAATCGTCACATACAAGAAGCGGAGAATCTGATCGGATAAATTGAAGTATTTTTTATTTTCAATCCGATATCGTCCACAGGTGATCCCTTTACACCTCTTGATTAATATTGTGCAATGCAGGAACGATGTATTCTTCTTTAAATTTGTATTGATCCCGTTTAATGCGACAAGGAAAAATGCTCTTATCAGGAAAGGATAAGAGCATTTTTACTTGTCGCATCAAACGGGATCAATAAAAATTTACGCAAGAATACATTGCAACCATGCGACTCATAAACAATATTCCAATCCGGATTTTACAATGCAGGAACATACAACACGGAGATCACAATAGCTGGTGAACGTTTCCTCAATGCTGCTAGCGATGCTACTAAAACCTCCGTTGTTATAGGTCGGTTCTTTTGGAGATTGGTTACATTGTATAGTAGTTACAGTTGTAGTTTAGTTCCAGCACTCGTAGCATATTAATTATTATGCGAATTACTCGCAGTATTTCAAATTCCAGCACATGTCAAATATTCTACTTACTTTTTAGTTAATCTCTAGATATCCAAATATTATATATCCCAACCCCTTGAATTTGTGACTCAACATTTAATTTAATCATAATGTTAATCTATATTATAATAAGAAATAATGTCTGCAGATGGTGATAAGACCTGCGTCATAAGCTCAGTTACACTAACTGAGATAAAATGTAAACTGCCTCACGCCGTTGCCAAGGAGATGAATGTTGTGGTAAGTTTACATAAAGTAAACATTGGATTAAAGTTAGGCAATTAATTAAAAATGTTTCTTTCTCTCGAATTCTTCTGAACATTTGTCCTAAAACTAATTATAAAATAACCGATTAAACCAAATAACCTCATTTATTTAGGTCACTGTGGACCCTTATGGCAGCTCCAACGTAGACCAGAAGATTGTGTACACAATGGTGCTAGGAGCAACCGACCCAGCTAGTCCTACCACTGGTAGTTTGGGTGGTCCTTCCATTGTACTTCAGGGTAAATATTGTCTTGATATTCAGCGGTTACCAGAATCCAACAATGTATCTCTTAAATGGTTCTATCATCTGACTCCTAATTATCTTCTCACTCCTTATTATCATCTGTATGCTCAGCATTATATGTATCCTAATTATGACTGTATCTTAATTAATAATTATGTCTGTATGTTAATTATGACTGTATCCTATAATTATGACTGTATCCTAATTATGTTGTGACCCCTAATACCCAGGTTCTGGGTTCCCACACGGAGCTGAGGACACGTCCCTGAACGTGACAGTGTGTGGGGTGGAGACAACAGCTGAACTAGTCAGCAACTCCCAGCTCAACATCCCTCTACCAGCCTGTCCTGATGATGTTTGCTCCACTGCTTCTCATTCCTGTGATATAGTGGTGAGTTTAGGGTTCACTGCTTCTCATTCCTGTGATATAGTGGTGAGTTTAGGGTTCACTGCTTCTCATTCCTGTGATATAGTGGTGAGTTTAGGGTTCACTGCTTCTCATTCCTGTGATATAGTGGTGAGTTTAGGGTTCACTGCTTCTCATTCCTGTGATATAGTGGTGAGTTTAGGGTTCACTGCTTCTCATTCCTGTGATATAGTGGTGAGTTTAGGGTTCACTGCTTCTCATTCCTGTGATATAGTGGTGAGTTTAGGGTTCACTGCTTCTCATTCCTGTGATATAGTGGTGAGTTTAGGGTTCACTGCTTCTCATTCCTGTGATATAGTGGTGAGTTTATGGTTCACTGCTTCTCATTCCTGTGATATAGTGGAGAGTTTAGGGTTCACTACTTCTCATTCCTGTGATATAGTGGTGAGTTTAGGGTTCACTGCTTCTCATTCCTGTGATATAGTGGTGAGTTTAGGGTTCACTGCTTCTCATTCCTGTGATATAGTGGTGAGTTTTGGGTTCACTACTTCTCATTCCTGTGATATAGTTGTGAGTTTAGGGTTCACTGCTTCTCATTCCTGTGATATAGTGGTGAGTTTAGGGTTCACTACTTCTCATTCCTGTGATATAGTTGTGAGTTTAGGGTTCACTGCTTCTCATTCCTGTGATATAGTGGTGAGTTTAGGGTTCACTGCTTCTCATTCCTGTGATATAGTGGTGAGTTTAGGGTTCACTGCTTCTCATTCCTGTGATATAGTGGTGAGTTTAGGGTTCACTGCTTCTCATTCCTGTGATATAGTGGTGAGTTTAGGGTTCACTACTTCTCATTCCTGTGATATAGTGGTGAGTTTAGGGTTCACTGCTTCTCATTCCTGTGATATAGTGGTGAGTTTAGGGTTCACTGCTTCTCATTCCTGTGATATAGTGGTGAGTTTAGGGTTCACTGCTTCTCATTCCTGTGATATAGTTGTGAGTTTCGGGTTCACTGCTTCTCATTCCTGTGATATAGTGGTGAGTTTAGGGTTCACTGCTTCTCATTCCTGTGATATAGTGGTGAGTTTAGGGTTCACTGCTTCTCATTCCTGTGATATAGTTGTGAGTTTAGGGTTCACTGCTTCTCATTCCTGTGATATAGTGGTGAGTTTAGGGTTCACTGTTTCTCATTTCTGTGATATAGTGGTGAGTTTAGGGTTCACTGCTTCTCATTCCTGTGATATAGTGGTGAGTTTAGGGTTCACTGCTTCTCATTCCTGTGATATAGTGGTGATTTTAGGGTTCACTGCTTCTCATTCCTGTGATATAGTGGTGAGTTTAGGGTTCACTGCTTCTCATTCCTGTGATATAGTGGTGAGTTTAGGGTTCACTGCTTCTCATTCCTGTGATATAGTGGTGAGTTTAGGGCCAGGGTTAGGGTTCACTGCTTCTCATTCTTGTGATATAGTGGTGAGTTTAGGGTCAGGGTTAGGGTTCACTGGGAATTCCGCGGGATTAGGCTTCTTGGATACTGCCGTTAGTCTGCGTCTGTTGGCTTTTTAACTTGTTTGTATGTAATTGTATGTTTAAGGCAAAGTTAGAAAAGAGTTCTATGAAGACTACGTGTTCACACAGGATAAGATGTAACCAATTAAACAGGTGCAGAGGTACGACACAGTTCTGACGAAAACGGGAGCTGTGACCTACAACAAGGCTGATACCCCAACTGTTACTAACATAGACCCCAGCGACGCGGGGACTGGTGGTGGTAAAACTGTAAGTATAAGGGACATTTTTTATCGCTTATTAGATCCAGTAAACTATCTGCTATCTGTAACTAGAAAGTTTGCTCGGCTGTCGGCGGACGTTAGATTTCCATTCATCCACTGTTTATTCTCATTTATCCATATCTCATGCCCTATTTCTATGCCTTCACCTGATGAATTATGTTAGGAGAGTTAAAATGTTAACTAAAATTGCTCTTTATTTATTTTGCGCATCTCAGATCACAATAACTGGAACTGGGTTCAGTGACGCCACATCAGATGTCAGTGTTAAGTTTGATGGAGTGACCTGTACTCTTCTCTCTACATCAACCACTCAGGTAATGTTAGAAATTCTAATAGAAATTCGCCAATTCTGTGATGACGTTCTTGTCAAAGAAATCTTTTAAATAAGCTCAATCTCCAGAACATTACCGTTGTCCTCCTCCTCCTCCTCCTCCTCCTCCTCCTCCTCCTCCTCCTCCTCCTCCTCCTCCTCCTCCTCCTCCTCCTCCTCCTCCTCCTCCTCCTCCTCCTCCTCCTCCTCCTCCTCCTCCTCCTCCTCCTCCTCCTCCTCCTCCTCCTCCTCCTCCTCCTCCTCCTCCTCCTCCTCCTCCTCCTCCTCCTCCTCCTCCTCCTCCTCCTCCTCCTCCTCCTCCTCCTCCTCCTCCTCCTCCTCCTCCTCCTCCTCCTCCTCCTCCTCCTTCTCCTCCTCCTCCTCCTCCTCCTCCTCCTCCTCCTCCTCCTCCTCCTCCTCCTCCTCCTCCTCCTCCTCCTCCTACCCCTCTTCCTCCTCCTCCTCCTCCTCCTCCTCCTCCTCCTCTTCCTCCTCCTCCTCCTCCTCTTCCTCCTCCTCCTCCTCTTCCTCCTCCTCCTCCTCCTCTTCCTCCTCTTCCTCCTCATCCTCCTCCTCCTCCTCCTCTTCCTCCTCCTCCTCCTCCTCTTCCTCCTCTTCCTCCTCATCCTCCTCCTCCTCCTCCTCTTCCTCCTCCTCATCCTCCTCCTCCTCCTCCTCTTCCTCCTCTTCCTCCTCATCCTCCTCCTCCTCCTCCTCTTTTAAATAAGCTCAATCTCCTGAACATTACCGTTGTTCTCCTCCAGATCACGTGTAAAACAGGAGCCAAGGCAGACAAAGCTAACAAAGACGGAGTAGAAGTGAGAATTAACAAGTCTCTAGCTCTTAACCCGGGCAAGGAGACTATGACTTACATGGATAAGTGGAGCTCTAAATTCACGTGGGGTGGCGATGAGAAGAATAAACCTGTCGAGGGGGATTTGGCTGTTCTTACTGAAGGTACATTCTTGATGATTTATGTCGTTTTAAATTTATGTCACGTGTTACTATGGTTACTCAGAGGTTCTAATACCCAAAATACCCTCAATCATCTCAACCCTAAAGTTACAGAGAATAATAATAAAATTCTTACCTGAACAAACGAACATTTGGGCGCACAAACTGACATACTGACAAACAGGTCAGATAATCTACCTTGACGAGAGTCCCCCGAAGCTGAGAGCTCTGCTGCTCAGGGGAGGTCATCTGGTATTTGATGATAACCAGGATCTCATACTGAAATCTGATTACATCCTTATCTTGGGTGGAGGTTCTATCACGGTAAGGGTTAATTAATGAGCTGTATTGATTTTATATAAAAACGTATACGCTTTGTAAATTTTTGAGACAGTAAATTTGTGGGTAATATTCGTTGTAAAGAAACATTGCTAATTAATGACAATCGTTTTGACCACAGTTGTAGAAATTATCTACAAATTTAATTAACAAATTTAAATTTTTACCAGATTGGAACTGAAGACTCTCCGTTCCAACACGAAGCAATTATAGAGATGCATGGCAACCAGCAATCTACTGAACTGCCAATGTACGGAGCCAAAACTCTTGCCGTCAGAAACGGTACGTCTGCTTACAAAGTTACAATTGTCATCGTATTTTGTTACTATCTCATCATAATATGTTCCATCATTTTTTGTTACGGTTTAAAGAATTTAACTTATAATATCTCTGTGAGATTGATCGTTGTTTTAGCGATCGTCTTTCTAATTGATCTTATCCCCTATCAGGAACGGTTGAGATGCACGGTAAAGAGGTGAGCCCTAAGTGGACAGAACTAGGAGAGACCGCTGAAGCTGGTACCACCTCTATCATTATCAACACTGAGACCAACTGGAAGGTTTGATTCTGTTCTGGTTGTGAATCTATAACGTTTAACGTTGACATTAATTAGTTCATTGTGTGTAAATCAGCAACACTAGTTACACATGCTGTATATGTATCATACTTGCAGGTCAGTGACCAGATAGCTCTCTCCTCCTCAAGCTTCGCACCAGAAGAGAACGAAGAGTTTATCATCACCACCATCACCTACGACAAAGCAGCCGGGAAGACCACCCTGGGACTGAACCAGGCTCTTAAGTTCAAACACATTTCTCTTGAACAGACAATAAACGGGGTGAAGATTAAGACTGCTGCCAAGGTTCGTCCTTTCATAGTTCTTTCCATTCCGCTATTTTATCGGCATTTATTCGGCTATGTTATCGGCATTTATTTTTATCGTTGACGGGTTGAATACATTTAATGAACTTATCTAATATTAATATAATAATATCCTGGGTTTGGACAGGATATAATATCGCAAATGTGTGAGACTGATTTTATTTAATTCTTACTTACTCCTAAATTGTAGTGTAACACTAAACTTTACTTTTACAGATTGGTCACCTGACTAGAAATGTTAAAATGCGGGGAAATGTTAACGAAGATCACTTGGAGATGGTAGACGCCTGTCCCCAGACATTTGATCCTGATCAATTTGCAACCCAGACTTGCTTCCAAGGCAGATACGGTATGTTCAATGTTCATCAGTATCAAACATTTTGTTTACACTCGGTCACTTGTCAAGGCATTCGGCGAATTTTCTTTGAAATAAAATGATGTATTTGTGTAAAAATTTGAAAGTTTATTGATAAAAAATCTTTCAACCACCGGAATAGGTAATATCACTTTTCTTTAAAATTTATATTACGTTGTTTAAGCCATCCTCTTTGTCAGGAGCTATGATGGACAGTGACCAGTTCGGATCCCAGATCATGTTCCACGCGGCTGCCATGGAAACACGGGAAGTGCACGGCAGGCTAGAGAACGCAGAGTTCTCCTGGGCTGGGCAAGCGTTCAGACTGGGGCGGTACCCCATACATTTCCACATGAACGGGGATGTGAGCGGCAGTTATGTCAAGTAAGCTCAGCCTCATCAATCTTTATTTTTATACATACAATTATACGCTGTTAGTGTAAAATAAGATGGGCACCAGACCAGTCCTCCCGGGCGTACCAATGGTATACAGTGCCTGCTCACAAATCCTCTCACACTACACACTATACTCTCAGTCGTTCTTAGCGACTGACAACCGCAATAACTCACAATATCTAAGTATTGAACTCTACGTTAATATAACAAATACGATATTCTAGTACCGTCAATTACTCTGATATGACTACTACATACATGCAACTAAGTGCGGTACTGTGAATCAAACGGTTCAATGCTACAATTCGGTCCTAAGCTAGAGTTGAACAAAGGAAACAGTTGAATCGAGTAATAACGTTCGAATGATGAATATAAAGATATTATCAACAATCACAACTTAAACTGTGGCAAGACGGGCCACGTTTGGCGTTCTAGATCAGCGGTTAACACTTTGATTAAACACGTCACCTAAAGAGCTTTTCCAGAACTAATCCTAACGTGTCCAGAAATGCGTTATCGACACGCGCCACGTGATACCACGTGGTCACTTAACTACCTAAATCTACACTCATTACTAACGGTCATATTAATCACTAAATTACAATCTACACAACTGCTAAAACTACTCTAAAACTGCTGCAAACAGCCTACATATTACACTACTGTCTTATCGGTTTATTACTACTTATCTGAAACTCACCTATATTCAATGCTTACATTAGACTTACCATTACATTCGACTAGTCAACAACCAAATTATCTTGAATATTGTCTCTCAGAGGATGTGCAGTCCATCACACATTTAACCGTGCCGTGACAGTTCACGGAGTCAACAATCTCCTCGTGAAAGACAACGTTGCCTTCAATAACATGGGGCACGCCTTCTTCTTGGAGGACGGTGTTGAGGAGGACAATGTGTTCGATGGAAACCTGGCGATATTCACTCAGTCCAGCTCCTCGTTATTAAATGTTGATGTTACTCCCGGTAAGGAATAATCTGATCACAGATTGTTTTTAATTGCTATAATGGACGTCGAGAATGGAATTTCATATTTATTTAATTAGATTTAATGCTTTTATCTTGCCAGCTTACATGAAGTAGAATCATGTTTTGGAAAAGTAACAAAGTGTTAATTTCAGCCTCGTTCTGGATCGTCAACCCCAGGAACACGTTTATCAACAACGTGGCAGCTGGTTCCACCCACTTTGGGTTCTGGTTCAACATGCCAGCTCACCCTGCCGGACCCTCTGCTACCAACACGGTGTGTCCCAGGAATATGGGGATGAAGGAATTCAGAGGCAATGAGGCTCACTCTTGTGGCAGATACGGTACGGGAAATATTTAGATTATTATTTCAGTTTTATATGAGGTGTACATTTCATGATGCATTATGACTAGCCCTTTAAAAGTGATAAACAATAATCCCAAAGAAGCTTTACGTTTAAATTATGAATTATTTTGATCTTCGTTGGATTGAAATAAGTAATTTTGGTTGAAATCGTTTTATTAACTTATTAAGAAAACATTGGTTAGTAATTTATAGCCAAGGCATCAAATAATCATTAACGACAAAATCTGAATGCTTAAAGTAAAATATCTTTTAAACAAAACAGATTCTATACTACATACAATCAATTTTTCTACAGTCAACATCAATAACACATAAATTCAATATTTATGTACGCAATTTCAAATCTCTAATTGAGTATGGATCTACAAACGTATTTATATAATTGTAATAATACTAGTATTTCACCAACCCTATTTATTTAGAGTGTAAAATATGTTTTAGACAAAACAGATTCTATACTATAGTCAATTTTTCTATAATCAACATAAATTTTAAGTCCGTAAATTCAATTTATACTGTCCACTGTCCAGCTGTGCTAAAGTCTAAAAGAACTTGTACTTGGGAACCACCTCAACCTCAATGTCCAGTTTGTATCCAGGACCGGGAAAGGATGTCGCATCCTCTGACACGTATATGGCATAGTTCCCATACACAGGTCGCTGGTATAACTTCCTGTTCCGTGATCAGTGCCTTGAACCAGAGTAGGGTTTGGACTGTCCTGTATGTTGGCGATCTCGTGAGCCCACACCGTCTTGTAACTTGCAGATGCGACTCCTGTCAAGGGGTTGCAAAGAAAGTGGTTACCTAGTCCTTGTGTGTTGTCATCGTTAGCGTTTGCTGCAGATAGTCGTCCTCCAGTCAAAACGATCCTCGCACCGTTGTTACTGTACGCCCAGTTGAACGCTAGGTCTCCTCCCACCGAGAATACGGGGTCGTCTTCCATGTTCTGGGCGTGGTTACTGACACTCTCCTGTATGGGACCTCCCTCAGTAACAACATCTCTCCCTGGGTTCATGGCCTGGAACCTGGACAGCAGAGATCTATCACTCTCTTTGAACCGGAACACTTTCACTGCGTCCACCTCCCCTGCCTGGTGTCTAACTAGAGCTATGTAGCTCACTAGTCACTGGGTGTCTCCAGACCAGTCTGTTCAGGTAATCTTTTGTCAGAGAGTCAGCATAGGTTCCAATGAAGACATCGTCCACCCACCCAGTGGTGAAGTCCATGATATGACCATCAGATGGGTTGAGGTTCATGGCCTGGTACCAGGTACTGGTTTTAACTCGCTCTATCTTTTCTACTTCGGTGGTCCTGGTCACTTCCATCAAACATAGAAGCCAAAGCAGCTGGGGATCATTTTTTTATGATGCAAGTCAAATTACGAGGTTTAAGAGTGTCAAAAATGGAATGACCGAGAAATAATCTGGAATTTGTGAGGGTACTTTAATAACCCCCTCTATCATGCGAACAATAATTCAATTGTTATTTGATAATTGCATTATGGTCCGTCTTTTCTTTATATTCATGATCGATATTACGATTGTTCACATGGGAACCAGACACAGCATGCCACCAGTTACGCTGCAGAACTCTAATTAAGATTATACCCCGATTAGGTCACGGAAACAAACCGTTAAATTTATTACGTTATCAACTTTTGCATTTGGAATCAAATCAATCGAAGACTTTGAAAACTGGGCTTAAATATAAAATGACACGTCACCTAAGCTTGGGGTCTACTTAAATATACCTTTCTCTATTTACACTTACACTATGAGTTTTAATAATCCGTTATTTGGCAGGTATTTGGGTCTGGGAGTTCTGGAACCCCCGTGGTGACGGAAGCTGTGAGGCAACCACCCCTAATATGACAACTCTGCATGATTTCCACGGCTGGCATAATCTTCGAGGAGTAGAGATCGAAACTGGTAAGGTTTTTTGATGAAAGTTTATATCACCGATTGTCCAAAAACGTTGTGATATTTTGTTCCTCAAACAATTAAAATTTGTTTAAACTTTTAAATTTCTGATAGCTTATGTCTGGTTACCTTGGTTACCTTGTTCAGGTAGTGGTATCGCTATGGATAACTTCCTCCTCCACGACAACTGGTTCAGTCAGATGGAAGTACACAAGTGTATTGACGCTACTTTTGAAGAGGGCAACACTCGGGTACGTAGAATGTAGATTAAAAATGTTGATATAATAGTTAATGATTTTATGTTATGATAATATTTTATTTAACGGATTGTAAAATATTTGTTCCAAGACCGTTGACGAGTCTAACTTGATGCGCGTCTTGACAGGTTATAAGCTTTCAATAATTTAGTATCTTGATCTAACTCTCCCGCGCAGATGACGAACTCGCAAATCATCTCCAAAACACAGTCCAGCGACGGACTTAAGATGCTCTACATGAACGCAGAGTTCGAGTGTGGTAGTGGGGTGGTGTTACCTGGTAAAGGTATGATGTCCGTACACGACTCCACTATGCACGAGTTTACAAAGTGCCCGGTATGGGAGGCTTGCGGAGGTTGCAAACCCAGACAAGGAGGTATGTGTTTCGTTTGTGTTTTGTAACATCTGAACGGGGGATGATCGGAGAACGTACAATTGAGACTGTTTTTCGGAAGTGAACAGCTGCTGAACTTACATGAAATATCTTGCATTAGGACAGATTCTGACCATGTCGAAATCTGTGACCAATATGGCGACCGTGTACTCAACAAGAATTCATGGTCATATTAATATCAATAATAATATTTTGACCATTTTATTAATAGTTTACTTAATGTTCACTCCATATCTCTGTTTCCAGGGTTCCCAAGTGAGTTTAAAGGAATCAGCTACATAAACAGTCCTGTAAAAGGGAAGTTCAAGTGGGAATTTGAGATTATGATGAGAGATCTGGACGGGTCTCTGAGCGAAACTGGTAAAAAGAACAGCATTGTCACTCCTAATATGGACATTTTGGATAAGTCCTCCTGCGCTAAGACAGATTCCTGGTCCCATGGTTCCGTTGAGGGGGCCGTCTGTGACGACAAGGTAAACAATGCCCAGTTTGTGACATTTAAGCTAACTGTTCCTGTTATTTTAGAACGTGTATTTTTGCGTGTATTTTTTGGTAAGTTTTGTCAAATTGATTTTGAACCATTTTGGTACTGACGAGCACCCTGTATGTGTGTTATAGCACGTATGTATAATGTATATATATATATATATATATATATATATATATAACAAGATGATAATGTATAATGTATAATGTATAATGTATAATGTATAACGTTCTCCCTTCTAGACGAGCCTAGTCCGTCTAGCGTGGAACCAGCCAAGCATTTCTGAGCTCCTCTTTAAGTCGGTGTTCCTAACCAACACTCACGGAAGCGTGTCAGTGCCTTGGTTTTTCAAGAGGCTGACTCACAAGCAAGGATGGATGGCCACTGTTCCTACTGGTAAATCGGACAGTGTTTTTTAATTTAATGAGTGATTGAATCTGTAAATTTGATTATAAATCATAGATTTTCGTTGTTACTAAAAGTCGTTTGTTTTAGCAAATTCGTACACAATGAAGTGGGATACGGATCTAAAGTTCACAAATGCGTCCTTCAAGATGACAGCGTACTACCCAAAGGATGGTGACTACATTGTCTTGGAACAGTCTCTTAATGATGTAAGATGTTTCAATTTTTTATTAACTTCTTGAGAACTTACAAACCGAGAAGAAGGTTTGTGAGTTTGTCACTGTCTTTGGTCATGAAAAAATCATGAAATTAGTGTTTAAATCATTTTATTTGGCCGCTTTTTCTTAAGCCTGTTACTTCAAAATAGTAAGTAGTAGAATATTTTACTTGAAAAATGCAAAATTGTTATTACCTTACGAGACATAATTCCGGTAACCTAAATGATTTGGGAACGAAAATACGGAATTTTTAATTTTTACCGAAAACCGCCACATTTCGTACCCCAAATTAAATCATGGTATTTGGGGATTTTTTATAGTTATTATTTAATTATATAATCCCCATATAGATTTTAATCAAGCTAATTTAGGAAATATTTAATACTGTGTTGACTATTTAATTATTGTATTGTATTGATGTATTTGTTTTTCTCTTTAAAAAAATTATATAATCCCCATCCTCAGAAACCGGACTACATCACGGTAGGAGGAAGCTCCAACAAGAAACTAGAAGCAATAGACGGAGCAGTAGATGACCCGGGCACTTTTACATTTGACGACGAGACCAAGAAGCTGTCCCATCTGATTACTGGCAAGGGTGTCGACACGACACAGGACCTTAAGATGGACCTGAAAGTGTACAAGTGTTTCTATGAGAACTGTACTGATCCTCATCCTAAACCTCTGCCGACCAATCCAACTGTTCTTCAGAGACCTGAAACGGTAAATATACCGCGGAATCTTTATATACCCCTGAATTATTGAAAATAATATATTTGTCTCTCTTACAGGAGCAGGTTTGTTTAATTCAAATTCTAAAAGTCTTCTAAAAGTCTTGATTTAATACTAAAATAGTTGTTATTTCCAGCCAAAGCGATGGTCCGTGTCGTCTGACTGGATGGGGACAGAGGAAGGACTTGGAGGATTTAACGGTATCCTCCCTAAAGTAGGTGATAATGTTATCATTCCCTCTAGCTGGTGGATGGTCTATGATGCCTCCATGGAGGGCCTGGGTGATGTGAGTCAAAACTTTATTTTTTATTACTTTGTTTCTAAACTTTATTTTAACGTTTAAGAGTTATATTAGAGTTATTGATAATTTTTAAAAGAAAAATATTTGTTGATAATCCAATTCAAATAGTTCGGAACCAGACTAATAAACACTATTTTACGATGGCTAAATATTACCAATATACGCCCAGATCATGGTGTACGGAGTGTTGGAGTTCTCTAACGAGGTGGACACTGTCCTAGGAGCTAACAGGATAGTTGTAGTTGGCGGCAAGTTGGTTGTGGGTTGGGGTGACGACCCCCTCAAAGTCAAGGCTCATATCAAGTTGACTGGTAGTAGAGACGACAAGGAGTACACACTGAATGATGGTACCACTGTCGGCTCTAAGGTGAATAAGGAACAGTGCCGTGTTTTCGTCGCATATTTTTGTATTTTCGTACTATTATAATATCTTACTTTTCAATACTCACTGAAACCATGCTGATATTCGGCCAACAGTCTGCTCTTTTCCTGTGTAACCATGGTAACTTACTGTGTAACTTGATAATTTTTCTCTTCCAGGCTCTAGGAATAGTAGGTTTCACAGAGATGCACGCTGTTGTGCCTGATGTTCTCTCCACTACACTCACAGTTAAAGCACCAGTGGGTGCCACCACCATCACTGTTAAGGACAATGTTATGGACAAATGGAAGGTTGGTTATCTTTGTGTCAAAGGAATATTACATTTCTGATACCGCACCGGCTGCAATCAGCAGCATCTAATATTCATAATTTCGAAGATATCGACCACTTGTATGGTTTAATTTACCATTATTTTATCATAACCTTCCAGATTGGAGACGAGATCGCGATCGCTTCCACCTCATTTATACCTGAGCAAGCTGAAAAGAGGACGATAACTAAAGTGGAGGGTCATATGCTGACTCTGGATACAGCACTGGAGTTTGAACACGACTACATGCTCGAAACTGTAAGTTATAGAATAAAACATGTAGTCAGGATAGAGCTGCATATTACACATATTTTGATAATTTCGGCGCAGAAATAAAATTAGCACCTTGTTAGTACTGAATACCTTTGTAGATATTAGTGGGGATAACATTCTGGGTTCCATCTTGTTACTCTATACCTGTACACTGCTGTTAATCTGCTCTTTTCTTATCTTTACTAGGCACTGATGATGAAAGAACGTATTCTACTAATGTTATAAAGATTTAATTGGAACTCATTTTAAGTCATTCGTTGTCTGATAGCGGGAAATACTGATTCTTTATAGTTTACTCCATTCATCCCAGATCCACGAGCACGTGTACGAACGTACTGCGGAGGTGGGACTTCTCACAAGACTCATAACCATCGAGGGAGTTATGGACCCTGGTAAGTTGTTTGATATTTAGTGGTCTTAACCGCTACACGTGTCTCTAATTTCACTATCTGTGACAATCGAAGATAAGACGAATAATTTATTTTAGTATTTTCAATTTCTGTGATTGTGAGCCAATTTCTGTGATTGTGAGCCAATTTCTATAAGGACACGTTTACGATTATCTAACCCCCAAATCCCCTAGCGGACACGTCACTGTACGGGGGCAGAGTGCTTGTCTCTGACTACAGCCAAGTTAACGAGGCTGGAGAACGTGAAGAATTCATCCCTGTCGCTCAGATCATGGGTGTTCAGTTCAAGAACTGTGGACAGCGTGGATACCGAGACTACTGGGATCCCAGATACGCTCTGGCGATACAGAACACCAAGCCGAGCGAGGACAGCTACGTGAAGTCGTGTTCAATTGACGTGTCACATAATCACGCTATCGGTATCCTGGGGTCTCACAATGTGGAGGTGTCGGGTAATGTGATCTACCATTCTCGCGGCTCCGGCATCCTTACCAACTCAGAAAATGTAAGCTAGAATCGTTAGGGTTTCTGATAATATAGAAACTCTTTTGCAAAGTTATTTCTTATACTTGTTTTCTGAAAAAGTGAATATGTTTTTTTGCATTTTATTTTATATTTTAAATTTTTATCACATCTAACAAACATTTGCCTTTAGACCAAGATTGTTGGTAACACTGTAATCTACATGAGGAGCTATGGAAACTGGGAGACTCCAGTTGAGAAACGATAACTACAAGATGGACGCTTGTTTCGAGACTTACGAAACTAATACTGCTTCTCTCAAGGTTACTTTTCACGAGATTCATTTTTTAATAATTTTGAAACGATCTACAGTATTGTTTATTATTCAAAGAAGGTCAAATGAGTGATGGTTCAACAAGGGCTTCTTGGTGATATCTATATTAAGGTTGATGTGGTTATTTCGGTATCATTAATAACGGTGTTTGGGCTGGGGAGGGGACGAAGTGTGCAAGTTAAAAATATAAAAAACCATATTATCTTATGTCTAGACGCGCAACTTGTTGGAATTTTCCTGCTCTGCTATTTGTTGTTTTGAGGATTCTATCAGATCCATGATCTAGCCGTCTTTAAATAGAGATTTAGCCTTTAGGTACTGAAAACTGAAAACTCACCTAATTCTAAACAAGTTGGGGCTGTGGCACTGGAGAAGGTGGTGCCCTCAGTACAGGTGATAGTGTTGCTACCTCTCAGCAGAAACCCCTCTTCACATGACACTGTCAGCACTGTTCCTGCTTCTACTGGAAATGTTGCTTCCGTTGTGATCTGACCCCAGGCTGGATCTAGACCCGTACACTGTACCGTAACTGTGGAATGCGAATTAAAAGAATTAAAAACTTAATACAAATTGATCAGGTATATTTATTCTCAAAGCAAGATTCTCGATTCTATCTTATGTCGACCACAACGCGATTTAGGGATTTGTAGTTATCATCATATAGAGAAAATTACCAAGTTCTTCATATCTGTAGTGTGTGGAAACATCGTCGTAATTACTAGATAGATGGCCGTGAAATCTCAATCCTGCCATAAGTTTCTTCATTGAACACGTGTCACCAACATAGACCCAGGTCACCTCCAGAACATCATCAAACCAAATTTGCAGCTGAGTGGACGTCTTCAGGAAAGTCAGAACACCAGCTTGTTGGAAGAATCCTTCCGTTCCTTTGAATACGTAATCACAATTTTGTGAATGTAAGTTTTTTGGTGAGAATATGAAATTTGTTTCTGCTCCCATAGTCCATCTGATGTCGTTAGATCCATCTATCTTCTTATCGGTCTGCATCTGGAACCTCTTACCCTCCACTATTTCGTATACATAAGTGCTTTTGTCTTCGGGGACTGGGATCCATTCGCTGTACTGGGTTCCTGGGAAACATTATAATGTGAAAAGAAAACACTACCAAATAAGGTAGTGTTGTCATGTTAACACTACCAACATTAGACATAGTAATCTCTGTTTTATTCAAAATGTTATTACAAAATTTCTTTAGTGAGTTAAACATGTGAGGACGTATTGTGCACAAGTCGTATTATAAAACCCTATAAGTTTAAATCAGATAGATCATATATGCATTGGAAAGCGGTTTCGTCAGTCACTTTTTGATGTTAGGGTATGTCGCGGGGCAGACATCGGTTCCGATCATTATCTGGTTCTAGGACTGCTGAAAATCAAACTTCAGTCAGTGACAAAGATCAACGCCAACAGGCCCAATGTGCCTGCCATTGAGCGCCTGAGGGATAGTACTACGGTTACAGAGTACAATGTGGCTCTTCAAAATCGATTTGCAAGTCTGGATAGTGAGGTCAACCTCGAGGATATGTGGCGTAATCTCAGTCAGACCGTCACTGATGTCTCACTAGAGGTACTAGGCAAAAGACCCCGGAAGGCAAAGGAGCAACACCTGTCACGGAAGACCAAGGATTTATTGATTCAGCGGGCACAGTTTAAGCGCAAAGACCCAAACTCGGACGCTAACAGGTCAGAGTATTCTAAACTTAATAAGTTAGTCAAGAAAAGCAGCAAGCTAGACGACAATAACTGGGCAGTTAGAGTAGCTACTGATCTTGAGGAAGCAGCGAGCAAAGGTCAGCAGCGTGAGGTATGGGCAAAGATCAAGAAGATCTCTGGTAAGAACAAGAAGCCTCGAGCATCTTGTGTCCGGGACAAGGACGGTAGGAAGATCACGGATCCCCAACAGCAGAGGGATAGGTGGAAGGAGCACTTTACTGAACTTCTGAACCCTCCATTATCAAGTGTCGACCTTGCCGACCTTGATACAGTACCACCCCAACCCCACTTTAACTCTCTCTCTTGTTCGGATGGACCACCCACCAGAGACGAGATTAGTTATTCCCTGACAAAGCTTAAGAACAACAAAAGCCCAGGAGTGGACGGGATAACTAACGAGCAACTGAAGTATGGTGCGAGTGCTCTAGTTGATCAACTAGAGTGTCTATTCAAGAAAGTGTGGGAAGAAGAGACTGTTCCTGAAGATTGGTTAAAGGGTGTGATCATTGTTATTGGGAAGAAAGGAGACACTTCAGTTTGCGGGAACAACAGAGGGATCACCTTAAGGTCTACAGCATCCAAGCTTTTTCAGATGATTCTTCTTAAGCGGTTACATGCTGGTATGGAGTGTCTTCTCAGGGAGAATCAGTGCGGATTTAGACAGAACCGCTCATGTATTGATCAGATTTATTCTCTCCGAACTATTATTCATAACTGTCTTGAGTTTAACATTCCTCTTTACATTAATTTTGTCGATTTCAAGGCAGCGTTCGATTCTATCAGAAGGGACTTTATTTGGTGCAGTATGAGACACTATGGGCTGCCTGAAAAATATGTCAGAATATTTCAGTCATTTTTTGGGGGTACCATGAGTGCCGTGAGGGTTAATGGGGAGCTGACAGACTGGTTTGATGTTAACTCAGGCACAGGTCAGGGTGACATTCAAGCACCTCCTGTCTTCAATTTCTGCCTAAACTTTTCTGCATTTCTGGCTGAGACCAACAAGATCATCAGTCAAGGCGCAGTGCTGCAGAAAGAGATGAAGACGGTCGAGGAAAAGGTCATTCTGGACACCGATTATGCCGATGACATGGCTATTATGGACAACTCAGGGGAAGGCCTACAGGAGTCAACTGATCTTTTAGTTCATTACAGCTCCTACGCTGGGCTCAGAATAAATGCAAAGAAGACCCAATGCATGGCTGTAAGCAAGTGCGCCTCCCAGCGACCTTTCATCAAGGATGATTGTATTGAGCTGTCGGTTGAGGGTGAACCCGTCGAGCAGGTTAGCAACTTTGTCTACCTGGGTGCAACTATCAGTGGGGATGGGACAATCAACAGAGACCTGGATGTCCGTATCCAGAAGGCTAATGGCGCCTTTCATCAGCTCTGGAACATTTGGAATAGCAGAACTATAAAGACTCCAACCAAGATCAGGATCTATAGGGCTGCTGTCCTCACCATCTTGTTGTATGGAGCTGAAGTCTGGAACACCACCAAAAAGCAGATGAAACGCTTCGAGGTTTTCCACCAAACCTCCTTGAGAAGGATTCTTAGGATTAAATGGTTCTTTCATGTGACCAACGACGAAGTTCTTAGGAGGGCTGGCATCAAGTCAGTTGAGACTTTCATCAGTGCTGCCAGGCTACGTTGGTATGGACATGTAGTTAGAATGCCAGACTCTAGACTACCGAGGTTTCTGTTGAACTGGAAGCCAAATTATGGAAAGAGGTCAAGGGGCAGACCCCGTAAGAACTGGAAGTCCTGCGTACTCGAAGATGCTGCTAAGTTTACAGGTGTTGAACACATCGACAACGACACAACAGAAGCTTTGGCTACCAACCGAGTACAGTGGAGACATATGTTACGCCGCCAACGCGATGTGTGTGATGCAGGCCACTCCAACGACTAGGAGGAGACCTTACCATGTATGTATGTATGTATAAGATTAAATATCGGGGAATAGGCCGACCAAGACAAATCTACTTGTCTATGTTACTAAAGGAAGTTGGGATGAAATCTAAAGAGGAACTGCGAACTCTGATGCGGGACAGAGATATATGGAGGGGGTTATCTGGCGTAGATCGGACTTAGTTCCGACATAGTAGGATTAGAATAGAAGAAAAGAAGTGAAGGGGCTTTAACGTTTCAGTTTTACATGCCTTATTAAAGAAGTGAAGGGGCTTTAACTTTTCAGTTTTACATGCCTTATTAAAGAAGTGAAGGGGCTTTTACTTTTCAGTTTTACATGCCTTATTAAAGAAGTGAAGGGGCTTTAACTTTTCAGTTTTACATGCCTTATTAAAGAAGTGAAGGGGCTTTAACTTTTCAGTTTTACATGCCTTTCTATTCAAACAAATTATATATATATATATTATATATTGCAACAATTATTAAAACAAACCTCCAAAAGTTGTCTTTGGAAGACTCAGAAACATTGTTGCTATCACTATAGTGATTGTTGTCGTATGCATTCTTTACTGTGGGATGTCTTATCAAATTCAATCATTTTGTGGAACTTAATATGGTCGTTTTTTAAAGTTTTTTAATTTTGCGGTATTATCCTAGCATATGAGCAAAAAACATGCCCAACTTTTTAATGAAGAGATAATGAAGACATACTGAACAACTATGAATACATAAAAACTGTAGCAACGACACGTTACCTAGCTGAACAAAAACTATCATCTGAGCATCAATTAACACTGACAGGGTGCCCAGTAAGGAAATAATCGAGACAACAACCATAAATCCGAAGTAACTATGGTTACTACTCTACACACGATGATGCAGCACTCTTTAACAGGCACTGGTTTGAAGTATTCTGGTACGTTAAGCAAGTAGTTCACATCCCATGCGATTAGACGTTGCAGGGGACTGGAAAACAAGGATCTGTCTAACCGTGAGGTCCTCACGTGCAAAGTTTGTAGAAATGGCAGCCAATATATTCCTGATGTGTCAACTCTTGACATCAGCTCTGAGATTCAGTGTTCGAGTATAAGCTAATGATCTTGCTGCCTGGTTTCAATCTCGTAGAGTGCGTTATTGTTTAGTTGACCAGGTGCCTGGTGTCATGTAGAAGATGTTATTTGCGGAGAAGATCCAGTCACCATTCTGCATTGTTACCAGATACTAGACACAAATATAAACGGAGCCCTGGTCTTGTTTAGAAGCAAGAAAGCTGGGGACCACGCTCCACAAAGCCCGTGCTAAACCATTAGCTACTGAGCAACTAGTTAGTAGTATTTACTGTAAGTAGCAGGGTCTAGACATACAATTCGCTCCATAGGAATTAAGCAGGTGAACTAAGTAGCAGGGTCTAGACATACAATTCGCTCCATAGGAATCAAGCAGGTGAACTAAAGAACTAAGGAGCAGGGAACTCTGTAAATGAGGACCTTTAGTGGGGCTTTATTTAATAGTGTTACCACGACAAGACCACCTTATTTGGTAATGTTGGTATATTGAAATAGGTGAATGGCCCATTGCTAGGTGCCATAATCTCATAATGGCAACATTGGTATGTCGAGATTTTTACTTTTAATAACACTTTGTTTCCAGGACAACAGGTGCGGTGGAAGTGAGAGAGCCGGGTTCTCAACTCAGGGAGAGAAAGGGGATGGTAACTTCTGGGAGAACAACGTCGCTCACGGCTGTCTCTGGGGCATCTTCATCAGGAAGTAAGAAGAAACATTACCTGCTAGTTGTTGGTATAGACAAATAGCTCTGTCGTTCACATATTACGCAATCATATTTTGGCCAATTTTCAACCCCCCCCCCCCCCCCCCCCCCCCCCCCCCCCCAGACCCCCCTTGATAATTTATAAGCAATATCCATTAACACTATCCTCTGCTTTTAGGGCAAAGCTTGAAGTTACGAAGCTGAACAATGTGATCCTCTGGCAGAATTATGACTACGGAGTGGTTCATTGGTCAGAATCATCCCTAGTCATCCAGAACAGTGTGTTCGCAGACAATGGTTTCTCTGTGACTGTGATGGTCGTTGGACCCAACCCTCTATCGTAAGATGATCTTTATGCTTCCAAGCGATATCATCACTTTGCATCTGTATCCACATGTATAATACTTTGAAATTTTATATTACTGCTCTCTGATATATTTTGTCCATAACAATTAAGTCTACTATTCGGCACGCCTCGTTTTGGGAATATATCAAGAAATTCTGGAAAATCTTGATTTCATCCTCTTCAGACATTCGCTGGACAACAAGTACGTTGAGTACAAGAACACCCTAATATACGGTAGGAACGCTAACAGTGCTTGTGATGAGAGGAAGACTAATGTGAACCCCACTGCTAAACTTACCGGCATCGGATACCACACTCCATCTGGCGGTACGACCTACTTTTAATTAATTAATTTTAAAAAAACTTATTTTCAAATTAATTTATTTTAAGTTAATTTATTGGTTGATCCTGGATACAACTATATTTCTCAGAAATTAGACGCGAATAATTAATGTTCATTGGTTTATATTATCAAATTTTAGATTAATGAATACTATAATGGGACGTTATTATTCTTTAAATAAAAGTTCATGGTTGTAAGTTTGTAATAAATTATTTTCTAAAACACAACCAACGCAGCTAAAGGAGGCTACTTGGGCATATATTTAAGTACCTTCTCGGGAGGGTACTCGGGGTGGCCCAAGATGTCGATACAAAACCCCATGTCATACTAGTAGTGTAACTATGGTAACTAGTAGTGTAACATGTCATACTCCAGTGTGAAGGGGCTGACAACGCTAACGGGTTAGTAAAACACAGTTAGAACTTTATTTAACATTTATTAAATCATTTCAGCAAGAGGAGGTCGTATTGGCATCTACCTCAGCAACTTTATGTCTGGATTTTCCGGCTGGCCGAAGAAACCGGTCTACAAGCCGATGAGTTACTCCGCCATAAAGGGCCTAACTACTCTCAGTGGTCAGTATTTACGTGTGAAAAGCTATTTCGTGATTATGTTTGCACTGCTAGATGTTTACTGTAGTCTGTACACATGTTCTTCTTAATCATTTTATCATTGTGATGTGAAAACTTGTGATCTTTTTTGGAGTTGTTGCATTTTTGCATCTTTTGCTTGCTCAATGCTCTTGCGATTTCTTCGTTTAACAAATGTTTCTTCATTGAATCTTTGAATATTTTCAACTGAATCCTTGAGTGTAATTTTGATGATTTTAACATGAGTTCCGGACAAATCCGCGTGAGCAGGCATTTTTATCAATGAATATTCATTTTAAGCATGAAATCGAGCTATGAAACCCTGATGACGCTTGGAACTGATTTGCCTGATCTCATAACTTCATATCATATAGTTGAAATCTCTTTTTAAAGTTTTAGCTTACAAATACTCAAATACTGATGTGTATGTAAAGACACAATAGTATGACACCACATTCACATTACTCTGCAACCATCAGGTGTAACGTTTGCTAACTTTGCAACCATCAGGTGTAACGTTTGCTAACTTTGGTCGGTGTAATGATGTGGCAATTAGTGACCTTCGTCAGAACGGAGACTGCTTCCACCCGGTTAAACTAAGCGGAATGAAGTACTCCGGAGTGGACATGGAGTCCAACCTCCTCCATATGAACAACCCTAATTTAGGGTTTGTAAACTCAGCAGATTGCGTGGATATGCCCTGTGATGCTAAGAAGAAGATCGTCATTACTGATATGGACGGCACTACTCTCGGCAAGGTTTGAACCGTTCTGTGAAAGTAACTTTCAATAATTATACGAATATTCACTGATCACCATTTCTCTTTGCTTTTTCTTAGCTGATAGGAACTCTTAACAGGCTGGCGACACGCTAACATCTCGCTCTGAATTCCAATGGGACGGTGATCAGAAATGGGGGATGGGAGACTACAGACTACCTAATCAGATGACCACTGCAATGGACGGTTCTGCCATCAGTCCTAGCACCTGGCCCAACAAGGGTATTGACAGAATGCTCAACGGAGAGGTTAGTTTGTTCTTTTAGCCCTCTAGAAACTTACTGATTTCTGATTTCTCCTAATCCAGTAACTACCTTAGTCGGTAATATTATGGGGGGGGGAAATTATGGGTGTTAAAAATATGGTTCTTTGGCCCAAAAAGGACCAAATTAGACTCCCACAATATTACCGACTAAGGTAATCAACTAACGGTACTGTTTGCTAAGTAACTAATCAACTAACGGTACTGTTTGCTAAGTAACTAATCAACTAACGGTACTGTTTGCAAAGTAACTAATTAACTAACGGTTCTGTTTGCTAAGTAACTAATCAACTAACGGTACTGTTCGCTAAGTAACTAATTAACTAACGGAACTGTTTGCTAAGTAACTAATTAACTAACGGTACTGTTTGCTAAGTAACTAATCAACTAACGGTACTGTTTGCTAAGTAACTAATCAACTAACGGTACTGTTTGCTAAGTAACTAATCAACTAACGGTACTGTTTGCTAAGTAACTAATCAACTAACGGTACTGTTTGCTAAGTAACTAATCAACTAACGGTACTGTTTGCTAAGTAACTAATCAACTAACGGTACTGTTTGCTAAGTAACTAATCAACTAACGGTACTGTTTGCTAAGTAACTAATCAACTAACGGTACTGTTTGCTAAGTAACTAATCAACTAACGGTACTGTTTGCTTATCAACTAATCAACTAACGGTACTGTTTGCTAAGTAACTAATCAACTAACGGTACTGTTTGCTAAGTAACTAATCAACTAACGGTACTGTTTGCTAAGTAACTAATCAACTAACGGTACTGTTTGCTAAGTAACTAATCAACTAACGGTACTGTTTGCTTATCAACTAATCAACTAACGGTACTGTTTGCTAAGTAACTAATCAACTAACGGTACTGTTTGCTAAGTAACTAATCAACTAACGGTACTGTTTGCTAAGTAACTAATCAACTAACGGTACTGTTTGCTAAGTAACTAATCAACTAACGGTACTGTTTGCTAAGTAACTAATCAACTAACGGTACTGTTTGCTAAGTAACTAATCAACTAACGGTACTGTTTGCTAAGTAACTAATCAACTAACGGTACTGTTTGCTAAGTAACTAATCAACTAACGGTACTGTTTGCTAAGTAACTAATCAACTAACGGTACTGTTTGCTAAGTAACTAATCAACTAACGGTACTGTTTGCTAAGTAACTAATCAACTAACGGTACTGTTTGCTAAGTAACTAATCAACTAACGGTACTGTTTGCTAAGTAACTAATCAACTAACGGTACTGTTTGCTAAGTAACTAATCAACTAACGGTACTGTTTGCTAAGTAACTAATCAACTAACGGTACTGTTTGCTAAGTAACTAATCAACTAACGGTACTGTTTGCTAAGTAACTAATCAACTAACGGTACTGTTTGCTAAGTAACTAATCAACTAACGGTACTGTTTGCTAAGTAACTAATCAACTAACGGTACTGTTTGCTAAGTAACTAATCAACTAACGGTACTGTTTGCTAAGTAACTAATCAACTAACGGTACTGTTTGCTAAGTAACTAATCAACTAACGGTACTGTTTGCTAAGTAACAAATCAACTAACGGTACTGTTTGCTAAGTAACAAATCAACTAACGGTACTGTTTGCTAAGTAACTAATCAACTAACGGTACTGTTTGCTAAGTAACTAATCAACTAACGGTACTGTTTGCTAAGTAACTAATCAACTAACGGTACTGTTTGCTAAGTAACTAATCAACTAACGGTACTGTTTGCTAAGTAACTAATCAACTAACGGTACTGTTTGCTAAGTAACTAATCAACTAACGGTACTGTTTGCTAAGTAACTAATCAACTAACGGTACTGTTTGCTAAGTAACTAATCAACTAACGGTACTGTTTGGTAAGTAACTAATCAACTAACGGTACTGTTTGGTAAGTAACTAATCAACTAACGGTACTGTTTGCTAAGTAACTAATCAACTAACGGTACTGTTTGCTAAGTAACTAATCAACTAACGGGACTGTTTGCTAAGTAACTAATCAACTAACGGTACTGTTTGCTAAGTAACTAATCAACTAACGGTACTGTTTGCTAAGTAACTAATCAACTAACGGTACTGTTTGCTAAGTAACTAATCAACTAACGGTACTGTTTGCTAAGTAACTAATCAACTAACGGTACTGTTTGCTGAGCAACTAATCAACTAACGGTACTGTTTGCTGAGTAACTTATCAACTAACGGTACTGTTTGCTAAGTAACTAATCAACTAACGGTACTGTTTGCTAAGGAACTAATCAACTAACGGTACTGTTTGCTAAGTAACTAATCAACTAACGGTACTGTTTGCTAAGTAACTAATCAACTAACGGTACTGTTTGCTAAGTAACTAATCAACTAACGGTACTGTTTGCTAAGTAACTAATCAACTAACGGTACTGTTTGCTAAGTAACTAATCAACTAACGGTACTGTTTGCTAAGTAACTAATCAACTAACGGTGCTGTTTGCTTATCAACTAATCAACTAACGGTACTGTTTGCTAAGTAACTAATCAACTAACGGTACTGTTTGCTAAGTAACTAATCAACTAACGGTACTGTTTGCTAAGTAACTAATCAACTAACGGTACTGTTTGCTAAGTAACTAATCAACTAACGGTACTGTTTGCTAAG